AGTTGTTAAGGATTGCATCTTATTTGGGTCCACAACCAATGTTCATGGAAGAAGAAATCAAGAGTTCAAATTATGCATTGCATTGGGTGAATGTGCTGCACAAGACCTCGTTAAAGTGTTGAAAAGCAAATATATTACTTTGAGGACTAAGGTGTGCCTGATCCAAGCTGTGGTATTTTCAATTGCCTCAAATGCATGTAAAAGATGGACATTGAATAAGGAAGACTGAACAAGAATCGATTCATTTGAATTGTGGTGCTAGACAACTATCTTGAAATCAACCTGGACTGCCAAAAAGACAAACAAATCTGTCTTGGAAGAAGACATCCAGAGTGCCCCTAATAGGCAAGGGTGGTAAGATGTCATCTTACATGCTTTGGGCATGTTGTCAAGAGAGACCAACTCCTGAAGAAGGACATCCTATTTGGTAAAGGAGAGGGGCAGAGAAAAAGAGGAAGGCCCTTAACAAGATGAATTTACACAGTGCCTGCAACAATGAGCTCGAACATAAGAACAATTGTGAAAATGCACCAGGACCAGGCAGTGTTTCGTTTTGTTATATGTAGGGTCGCTCTAAGTTTAAATCAACTTAATAGCATCTAACAGCAACAACAACAACAACAAAGAGAGAAACCTTCTGGTCTCTCTCCAAAGCTGTTGTCACTTCTGTCATAAAGAACAACAAAACCCAACTCCCAGTGACTATCACAGACGGAAGAGAATACCCCAACGGATTTCCAAGTTGTAGTTTTTATGGATTATCAGTCCTTTTCTCATTCGTTGGGAGGGGCAATAGGCTAGTGATTATATATTAAGCAGAAGCATATTGTCTAGACTTCTTTGAATATATCTTTTTTGATAAGTTTAGTTTTGGCACACACAAGAATATTTTCCATAATTACAAGAACAATATTTTTAATAATTTCTAAAGCTAAAAGATAAAATCTTCTACTTGTTTATTATGTTGGAAAAGGAGCTATTCTGAAATTACTTATATAATTAATTTATATAACTCTATTTTGACTGTGAAGAAGTCCTGGTAGCACAGTGATGAATTTCTCAACTGTTAACCGAGGGAAGACGATCTGCATTCATAAAGATTATAGCATTGGAAGCCCTATGAGATAATTCTATTCTGCCCTATAAACTTCCTATGAGCTAGAATTTATTTGTGAGCTATGGTTTAATTTGACTACACTTACTGGTGTAGTCAAATTATCTATATCTATATAGATAATGACAAAAGCATTTGTCACATGGATTCACACTATTTTAAGTAGGCATGTTTTTGATGCTAGTTTTGGTCTTATTTTGCTAATATTGTAGCTGCAGTGTAGGATAAATTGAATAATTATTTTGGCATCACTGAGAATTGAATATTTCTGTATAGTTGAAATATGTAAACTGACAAGGTCAAATCAAAATCAATAAAAACTCTGTAGTCCAGAGTTTAAATTGAAAAAATGATTATGGATTAATGATATTCCTAAATAAGTTCATGAAATACATTTGTACTTTTAAAATATTCCATTCTAACAACTGAAAAGGCCTAAACACACACACACACACACATACACATATCCAGTAGCAATGAGAACTTCTATATCCAATAAAAATAAGAATAATAAGGAAAGCACTACCACCAAAAGTCTGTCTTCGCATGGAGAAAAATGAAATGAGACGTATTTCACATATACATGATAATCTATTCTAGATGGATTGAAGAACTAAATGTGAAATGCAGAACTGGATAGCTTTTAGAGACTCATAAGCTCGTTGCCATCTAGTCGATTCCAACTCATAGAAACCCTGTAGGACAGAATAGAGCTGCCCTTTGGGATGCTGAGTCTACAAATCTTTAAGGAAATAGATAGCCTCATATTTCCCCTATGGAAAACTTACTGGGTTTTAACTGTTGAGCTCATGGTGAGCAGTTCAGTGCATAATCCACTATGCCACCAGTGCTCCTTGCTTTTAGAAAATGGGAACAATAGCTTGGTAATGCAAACAAAGGAAGAATTCCTAAATAAGGTATTGGGATTGCAACTGATAGGGAACATGTTGGTAAATTTGATCAGCTTAATATTAAAAGTATTAATTTCAAAATACAAGTCATAAATAAACCAAAAGAATATATTTATGATTTGCATAATTCAAAATGGGATGGCATTCAGAATAAAGATCTCCAAATCATTAAGAAAAAGACAATCCTTTTGTGTGTTTTTGTGTGCCTGACTCAAGTAATGGTATTTTCTTTTTCTTTTATTATTGCAATAGTTTTATCAACGTATCTTACACAACCCAATGTATCCATTCACATACAATTCTCTTGTTCAATCCCATTGAGTGGAGTTATAGAATCATCATTGCTATCAGTTCCCTCCCCACCACCTCTTTCTTCCTGTACCATCAGGAAACCATTATTCCTGTTACTGTTTCCTGCAGGGTTATCTATCTTGACTTTCATGTACCAAACAATCTTAAATATACAAGTGAACATATGCAAACCTAACATGATTAATGAGGTAAAACAAATAGCAGCCTTAATAGTAAAGGGAGTAAATACTAAAGAATTAGCAGGTAAATATGTGGTTCATCAGTGATATACCATTCCCTGGAGTAGTCATCCTTTACATGTGGCCTTTCTGTCCAATTACCTTTCGGGTGAGTTTTGCATCTCTATTGCATCTGTGCCCCATTCACATCAATTTGATTGCTTGTTTTTGAACTTCTGATACCTTTTCTCATTGACACCTCATGATCACACAGGCTGGTGTGCTTCTTCCATGTGGGCTTTGTTGCTTAGATGGCTGTTGGCTTAATTACAAGCCTTTAAGACCCCAGATAATACATCTTTTGATAGCAAGGCACCTTCAGCTTTCTTCACATTTACTTATGTACCCATTTAACACAATCTATTTTTTAACAATTGGAAAGATATGAGGAGCTATTTCATTTAAAAACAAGTTGAAGCAACCAACAACTATATGAAGTGCAAGGATGCTTAATCTCATTAAGAATTAGGAAAATGCAAATTAAAACTACAATAAAATGTCATTTTATACCCATCAGATTGGTGCACCTACAATTATGATAATCCGATTTTTTAAAGCATGGTGGTGTTACTACAAAAACATTGTTGGTTTTCATTTAAAACCATAGAATCATTTTGTAAAATATTTTGGCATTATCCAGTGAAGTCAAATATGCACATGAAATAAAGCTAATAATGCTACTCTTCATTTTTGCAAGGAAAAAGTTTACAAATGTCAGAATCAATTGACCATATTAGTATGAGTCTATTTCCAGATTCTGTATTCTGTTCCATTGATTTTTTGTGTGTCTCTCTCTACCTATACCACACTCCCCTAGTTACTGTAACTATATAGTAAGTCTTGATATTAAATAAGTTGTTCCTTATATTTTTATTCAAGAATGTTTATATTTGACCTGTTCATAGTAATCCCCATGTGGAAATAACCCAAATATTCAGAAAATTTTTCATAATATTCCCTCCAGCCAAGAAAGAGTAAGAGAGCACAGGTCTACTTTTTCACTTTATGCAATTAGAAAACCAAATCAGACAAAATATGTCAAGCAATGGTTTTCAGGCATTAAAAAAGAAATAGTATATTAGCCCCAAGACTATAAAAATATAAGGGGCTTCAAAACATTCATAGAAAAATTCCATTTGCCTTTTTTGGGAGGGGGCAGAATTCCATCACTTTAATCTGTCATGAGCATGAGGACTGGGTTATGTGAGAAAGATTACGGAAGGGGAAATGCTCTTCAGAGACTAGTTTTCAAATTCTTGTACTACTTGTTATTAGCTCCCTGTTTCTCCTCAGCCTCCTCTGTCATAACCCCAAGAAACCATTCATTCAATTTCTATGTCTATAGATTTACATAACTTGGAGTTCATGTACAGATAATATACAAAAAGCAACAATAACAAAGTAAAACAGAGAAAAAACTCAATTGGAATCAAGCAAAAAAATATTAAAAACTGGAACAAATTTTAAATGGGTCAAAAGGGAGAATAAGTGATAAGGTTTTTAATTGATCCCTAACTGCATCTTCAATAATATACTTTCCATTATACTCTGTATGATAGTAAGGTTATTTACATCCCTAGTATATGGTCAGAAGGAATTCACTGGAGGCCTAATCAATGAGCATTTCTCCTTTACTTTCTTTTAACACTAAAACAACTTTCAAAAAGGTCAAAGGGGAGATCAAATTATAAAATATTATATCTTAAACTAACTATATCTTCCACGATTGATTTTACAATGCTCTACGTCTGATAACCAGGCTGTTCACATCCTCAACTATGGTCGGGGGAACCTCTGGCAAGATGGTGACTGCATAACACATATGAGAGGGACTCCGCAGAGATCAGCACAGGAGAGCAACTGAGAGGAAAATTCCACACTGCCAGCTCACAGGAGGAGCATCATAAAGATAAGTAAGCACAGATCCACTAGGTTTTGAGGAGCTATGGACATTTGGCTTACGATTGTGGAGGCCAGCTAACGCTTAACCTTAGCCCTGCCCCAGTCTCAGCCAAAACCAGGCTCCATCAGCTGGCCCAAGGGATTTACTTCAAAACAGCCACAGCTTGCCGCCACATCTGGCAGGGTTTAAACACCGCTAGCCCCACACTTGGGTGATTGGGGATCAGCTATATCTTTACTTTTGTTTCTCTCTCATCTTTCTCCCCAGAGTCTCAGTGGGCTTGATTTTTTTCCTCCTCTCTTTCCTCTAACATGCCACTGCCGGCCTCCATGCCACTCCAACTTTGCCTAGAGCAATTACACCTGCCCTCCATCAAGCTTGGGGAGCTCTGCACTCTCAGACATAACACATGGCTGGAGAAATCCCACTCATCGTCCACAGCAGGGCAATTCAAGCCTACCATTCAAGGCCCTTTAAGCAGATGGAGGAAGTCCCACCGACTCTTTGGGGTGCTCCACTTGGCTGGGGGAAGCTCTGCCTACCTTCCAGAGTGCTCCAAGTTGCTGGGGAGACCCTGTCCATCACCCACGGTCCCACATGGCTGAGGGAACTTCATCCCACGTTCTTTAGTGCTTCACACAGCCTACGGCAGCTCTGCCAATACTCTCCAGCAATCCACGCTGCTGCGGGAACCTCTGACCAACCTATGCAGCGATCTAGTCGACTAATGCAATTTTTCCCAACATCTGTGGTGCTCTACACCAAAGCAGGCACAGACACCTGTGCTCCATGGCACTTCAGTTGCAGCAGGAACCCCCGCAGACCCTCTCCGGTGTGCCAAACCACTGTGGGTCACACCACAATGGCTTCCTGTGAGATCATCCAGTGAAGTGCCAACATCACCAGTCCACAACCACCCAACCAGTACCCTTCACAATAGCCAAGCACAAATTGAAATAACTAGAGATAAACCTGACTAACAAAAGATTTGTACAAGGAAAACTACAGAACATTATTACAAGAAACCTAGAGTGACCTCAACAAATGAAAGAATATCCCATGCTTGTGTAGCAGAAGACTCAATATAGTAACAATATCAGTTCTGCCCAAGGCACTATAAAAGTTTAGTGCTATCCCGATAGAAATGCCATCATCTTTCTTCGAAGAATTGGGTAAACTGATTATCAACTTCATATGGAGAGGGGAAATGGCCAGAATTAGCACAGAACTCCTCAAGATGAAGGACAGAGTGGGAGAGCTTGCTTTACCTGACTTTAACACCGATTATACAGCCACAGTGGTCAAAACCGCATGGTATTGGTATAATAACAGATACTCAGACCAATGGAAAAGAACTGAAACCCAAGAAATAAAATCATCAGCATACAGACAACTGATCTTTGATAAGGGCCCCCAAAAAATATCAAATGAAAAGTGGATGCCCTCTTCAACAAGTGGTGCTGGAAAAAATGGATACCTACCTGCAGAAAAATGAAGCAACACCCTTTCCTCACTCCACTCACAAGAGTAAACTCAATGTAGATCAAAGACTTTGAGGTAAAACCCCAAATTATTAGGACCATCAGTGAGGGAACTTGAACAAACCTATGAACTTTGGTGCAGGGAATACATAGCCTGTCAGAAATAGGGAAGGACAGAAACACAGATGAGTCGCAAATTGACAAGTGGGATATACTGTAGGTAAAACACCTGTGTACATCCAAATAATTCACCAAGAGAGTAATGAAAGTCCACGGACTGTGAAAACTTATTAGCAATGACACATCAGACAAAGGCCTTTTCACTAAAATCTATAGTACTCTGCTAGCTTCCAAAAAGAAAAAAATGAATTGCCCACTGAAGAGGTGGGCCAAGGACCTGAACAGAAGTTTCACAAGGGCAGAAACCCAAATGTTCAATAAACATATGAGAAAATGTTCCCGATCATTAACCTTAAGAAATATGCAAATTAAAACAATGAGATGACACCTAACACCCTCAAAGATAGCCCAATTCAAAAAATCAGAAAGTAAAAAGTGTTGAAGGGGCTGTGGTGAGACAGGAGCTCTCATCCACTGCTGGTGGACCTGTAGGAATGTACAGCCATTATGGAAATTGATCTGGCGATCTATGAGACAGATGGAAATTGAATTACCATATGACCCAGCAATTCCCCAGAAGAGGTAAAAAATAAACCATGGCCAGACATCTGTGCTCCAATGTTTATCACGGGACAATTCACAGTTGCAAAGAGTTGGAAACAACTCAAATTCCCATCAACAGATGAATGGACTAAAAAACTGTGGTACATAAATACAGTGGAGTAATACACATCCCTAAAAAGCATTGATGAGCACATGAAGCATATTGCCGCATGGGAAGACCTAGATTAAATTATGCCAAGAGAAGTAAGCCAAGCACAAAAGGACAAGAAAACATGAGTCCACTGAGGGAAGCTTAAAACTGCAAAGGGGCCATAGGGGAAAAGCTACTGTATACATACATTCCTAGGGTGAGGTCAAAGTATTATGGCAGGGGCCAGAACCAATCTGGGATACATATGCTGTCAAATAAAAAGGAGGGGAAAAGAAAGAAAGAGGGGAAAAAAGACATGGGTAGCAGGGGAACAGGACACTAACCCACCTGAGAGGGTGTTGTTTATATCTCTACAGGAGAGGGAGAGAAGGATCAGACTTCAAACATCAGAGCACACAGAAGCAAATGAAGAGGGAAGGAGAGAGAATGGAACACATCCTGGCCCACCAAGCCCTGAAGACAATATTCTTGCAGACCATAGGGCCAACCCCACCATGAGACAAGATATCACTCAGTGACTCATATCGCTATGAGGTACAACACAGGAAGCACAGTGCGAGAATTGTGCCCGATTTGACCCCAGCACACGGGGGCAAACACTAAGGGTGTGCAACAGAGCAGCAAGTGGGGCAAAGCAATGAAGTCCATGGGGAATACCAAAAATAGACTTTGGGGCCCAGTTGTGACACCCCATCAGACTCAACCGGAAAGCACTCCTAAAGGACAACAAACAGACCTGGAACTATTTTTAGGCTTGTCTTTGTGTGTGTGTCATCGATTTTTGTTGTTGCTTTGGGTTTTTAGTATTATTTCGTTGTTTTATTTTGCTCTGCCTTGTTTTTGTGTTTATTATTGTCTCTGCATGTCTAGGCGAGATAAACAATCCAGAGGGGAAAACAATGGACAGATGGTTCCGGGGGAAACATAGGGGAGAGGAGGGAACAACAAGTGATCTAAAATTGATGGTGAGGAGGGCGTAGGATGCCTGGTAGGACTTGATCAAGGGCAATGTAACCAAGAGGAATTTCTGAAACCCGAGTGAAGGCTGAACATGATCGTGGGACAAAAGGAAAGTAAAAGGAAATAGAAGAAAGATCTAGGTGGCAAGGGGTATTTGTAGAGGTCTAACTAAATACAGGCATGTACATATGTAAATATATTTATATATAACAATAGGGATATAGATCTATGTCCATATAATTATATGTAAAGTATCAAGGTAGCAGACAGACATTGGACCTCTACTCAAGTACTCCCTCAATGCAAGAACACTTTGTTCTAATAACCTGGCATTCTGTGATGCTCACCTTCCTGACACGGTTGCTAAAGACAAAATGGTCGCCGGATTTGTAAGGTAGACTTGGGGTGATGACAGTGGAGCCGGGGAGGAATCATTAAAGAACTAGATGAAAGTTGTATGTTTCATTGGTGCTAACTTCACCCTGCTAGCTTGTCTCTTCCTTGTGACCCTTCTGTAAGGAGATATCCAATTACCTACAGATGGGCTTTGTACTCCAGCTGTACTCCAGCTCATTCACATTGATATGATTTTTTGTTCTGAGTCTTTGATGCCTGATATCTGAATCCATCAACACCTCATAATCACACAGGCTGGTGTGCTTCTGACATCAACCTTCTGTCATTCGCACCCTTGCTTATCCTCTTCTCTAAATGTGGACTGAAGCTAATGATTCACTGTTAACAAAGAGAACACAGCAAAAGTGACTAGATGACAAAGTTGGAGATGATCATCCTGTTGATATTCTTTCCCTGTCTTTTCCTGCAGCCTTGCTTTGAGGACACGGGCCATCTGGCCAGGGACTGAGTGTGATCTGGGACGAGCTGCCAGAAAGGATCCGAGTCCTACCAGAAACCAGTAAGGGACCATCGACACAACTGTTTCCCTATCAAGCTTTAAGATGGAACACCACTTTGACACCTTGAGAGGCCTTGAAGCAGGGAGTCTAGTAAAATCATACCCAGATTCATGCTTCAAGACCCACAGACTTGGGGAGATAGTGTTGGGGGTGGGGGTGGGGAATGGATGGGTGGCATGAACGCACACGCTATTTTGAGCCATTACATTTTGGGGCAATTTACTGTACAGCAATAGAAGACTAGTACATAACCCATCAACAAAAGTTGTTCATTCCACCTCTTAAACATACATTGGGTCTATCTGTTTCTACTCCCTTATCTCTCCTCTGCCTCCATCTCCAAACTTCTCTTCTATCTTCGTTTTTCTCCCATCATTTCTCCACGGAAGAGTGGACAAATGATAGTAGCAAGAGCAACTAACTGCAAACAGAGATCGTATCATAACAATATCTAAAATAAAGCAACAATGAGTTATTTCCCATATTACTGAAAATAAAATCGAAATCCTTTCATGTAACACAGGAAGAACTTTGCAACACAGGAGACTGTTCACTGGCCCTTGCTTCCTTCTGACCTTTCTTCTTATCCTCAAGTTACCAAGATCTCTCTTATCCTAGAGCCTTTACACATGATAGTCCCAGTATTAGAGTCATGCCTCCCATACCCACTTCTTCTCATCTTCCCACCCCCACAGTGCTCCCCACCCCTCCATCCTCAACTTCACACCATACCACCACCACCGCTGATTTTCATGAGAATTTCTTTTGTATTCTTCAAATAGCCCACTGGCAGCTGCTCAGGTGTCTTTCTCTATTTTTAACTCTAAATAAGAAATTTATATTTCCGGTTGTTTGCTCACAGCCTATTTTTGTTGATTGTCTTTATAACTTTCACGACAGTGGTTACTTTATTTCATTTTCTGATACTTTCATTTTTGTTGTTCTATTCCCCGATTCTAATAAGTAGATAAGTTCCTCTTTGCATTCAGAAATTAATTTGTTAAAGTAAATAATTGAACATGAATATATATATATATTCATAATTAGTCCAGTGGAGGGAAATTTAAAACAAAGGACTTTGTGCCTTTATGAATGGAGAGTGAATTCATCCATTTCTTGAATCATGGAATTACAGAATATAGTTGGTCAGGTCATGAATTATGTCATAATTATCAGCATAGATAAACACGTAGATGAACCATTTCAGTTTCTACTATAAACATAATAAAATCTTCCAGAATGAAGATATTTGGAGGGTATTCTATTTCCCACAATGAAACATTAAATAAGAATTAGAGTCCGATAATTTAAAATTGTATTCCCAAGGAAGAAAAGATAAGCACTCTTTAAAATTAAAAGCAAGATAGCACAAGAGAGCATCTTATACCCTTAATTAACACACAACCCAAAAAATCAATTTTAT